GAAATGAAGTGAAGACAAAAAGTTAAAAATGAAAAAAAACAAAATAGTGAGTGGGCGAGCATCTTTTGACACCCCCATCTTTGACGACTTTTAATGTTTGTTTGGGTTAGCAGAATGGCTTCAAAATTTATAGGCGTGTAGGCTACATCATAGAGAACTCACATAAAAAAATTCAGAAAAAAAAACTTATTTTCAGGCCCCGAAATATTTTTTGGCGGGGGCCAAACCTAGAGGTGTTCGGTCCCCGAACGGGACCCTGAACGCCCGAACGTTCGGGGGCCAGCCCGGGGGGCCCTGAACGTTCGGTCATGTAACCCTGATTATAACAGAATAAAAAAAATCAATTTAATAAGATAACAAAATTGAATCATTCTATCTAAACAAGAATCTAGCATAAATATGAATAAAATAACATAAAAATAAAATTTACTATATATAGATTTATTGAAATATAGCATACAAACATAATTACGTAGTACAACCTATTACATATTTCATTACAATAGATAGATTATATATAATATATTTTATGAAACTCTATTCTAAATAGATACATAGATAGATAGGGAGACGAAGACAAATAGATAGATAGTGAGACAGAGATACATAAATAGATAGCGAGACAAATATACATATATATATCGTCAAATATATATATCGTCACATATATATATATTATAACAACCCCTCCTGCAGTGCTAGTGCTGCTGGTAAACGCAGGCAGCACTAGCACCCGGGGAGAGGCTCCATCTATTGGTGAATAATATCACCTACTGGAAAACGGGTCCAACATCCCTTATACACTGAACGAGAAAAATGCTAGGGAATATAACTGAGAAAGACACCTGCCAACATTGATTGCTCTGTGCTCCAGAGGATTGACTTTGCAGGTTGTTGGGAACAGGCAAGAACCTCTTCACCCTGTACGGAGCGCCGGATACCTGTTGCCGAGGGATTAGTTCTCCCTCTCCCAAAAAGCTTTACCACCTCATCCCCCCCCATCGATCCCTCTGTTCCACTCAATGTTAGCTGACAACTTTGTGTGGACACTTGCTTTTCAATCCACTCATAGTCCTGGCACCTTTATTTGCTGCATGTTTGTCATTGGATTGTCATCTGCTTACGTTGCTCCATACCATTGCATGTCCACCATTGCCAGCTGATGAGGCGGAAAGGGGTATGTGAAGTCTATGGGTGGGCGCATTAGGACCCCGTGGTGTACCTTGGTCCCCTCTTCAAAGGAGGTGCAGTAGCCCCTTATGAAATCATCTCGTTCCTGCCCCTGCGTTTGTCCTCCCTCCCATCGCATGTGCGCGATCCATTCCCCTTTTTTACTACCCAGCCGGTCCCCTAAAAATTGGTTGATTGCTTGTTTAATGTTTTTTTTTTAAGTGATATAAGTCTATTTGGCTTTTGACTTTTTGCCACCGCGAGTGAAGTTCTTGGTTGATGAACTGTCTGATCATTTCCGTCACTTCCTCCCCCTCTACTCGAACCCCTACAATGGAATGTATACAACTTTTTTTCCAAAGAGCCCAGATGATGGCTATCCTTCCTATCTCAAACATATTGTTCTCGAAGTCGCTGTCTGTGGGAAAGGTCCATGCCTCGCAGAGCAACGCTCTCCAGTCCCATGGCCAACTGGGTCTAGTATCCAACAAATTCCATATCCTATCCCACCATCGCCATGTTAGCACTGCTCCTGGGCAGTGTAGGAAGATATGTTCTATGGTTTCCGAAATCTTACGAGTAGGGAAGGCAGTATGACAGGACACCATGGCAGCACCAAGCCCTTCTGTTCTAGGTATGTGCGGCCCACAAGCTAGTTGTTGGTTGGGAGACAGCGATGCTCTATCTGCCATTGTAGTGAGGCTAACTTCGCCGGTTTGGATCTCATGGTTGTAAACCATTTGATTGGGCGAAGAGAGTCATCCCCCACATTCAGATCAGCCTGTCAACGGATCCTCACTCTCTCTCTCAAATTCACCTCTTGGTCGCAACAGCCGGTATGTGTCCTTTACAGTCAAGCTAAAAAGCTGTTTGTCTGAAGTGGCCGGTATCCTACGTGCATGTCTCCAGTGCCACTCGAGATAGATGGATAGATAGATAGATAGATAAACATATATATATATATATATCATCATATATATATATATATATATATCGTCACAAGCAGAACTATATATATATATATATATATCGTCAAATAGAACTGCCCGGTAAACCGTAGGCAGAGAGGGAGAAGAGGACAACAAACGAGGGGCTGTGACAAACTGTTTCGTCGGAGTTTCACCGACTCATCAGGAGGCTAAACGCTTAACAGTCTGTAGAATCCCCTCACTGATTACACTGTAAGTGCTAATCCACCTAGACCAAAATCAAAGTAGACTATCACTCACCCACACCAGATGGAAAACTCTACAGACTGTCGGTTCACACCCCATCACAAGCCA